GAGTGTGTAGTATTTAATATATCACGTAATGATAGTGTTTTGATGAAAAATAAAGCAGAGATGGAATCTTATTGTATACAGAGGCCAAGGAAGTGCTCTGTGACACGGTGACATTTAAGCAACAGTCTAAAGAAGTGAGGAAGGAAATAATGAGAATTTCTAGGGGAAGAGCTCTCCAAGCAGATGAAACAGTAAGGGGATAGGCTTGGAAGTGGGAGCTAGCTTAGCTTATTCACAGAGCAGCGCTAGATCTAATTTGTTTGAGGCAAGGTGGAGTTAATAACAAGTGAGGTGTAAGAGACCAAGGTCAGATTCTGTAGGGTTTTAAAGGCCAGAAAAAGGACTTTGGACTTCACAGGAGTAACATAGAAAGCCTGCTATCACTTAGCAATGGTAGTGATACGTATAATCAGAATCCAAATAACAAAGGCTCAAACAGGATGATGTTTCTAGTGTTATACTGATCCTAAGACACTATTGGATGTAAGACACACCATTATTTTATGTACCACCAAGAAAGAAAAAGATGCTATAAATATAATCATTAAACTGTCCTCCAATAATTTCAGAGATGTTGAAACATAACAAGATGTAAAATATGGCATTTTTCTCCCATGTAAGAATAGGTCTAGAGGCAATGATTTTTTTGATTGTAAGATGGCTACTCACTTACAGCCATTAAATCCTCATTTCTGTGAGGGAGAAGGAGAAAATAGGAATGGGGGAAATGCTTTTTATTCTTCCATGTTAATTTGTAAAATTCCCTCCCCCCCGAAAAAGTCACTGGAATTTTTATTGGCATTGCACTGGATGTGTAGGTCAACTTAGAGAGCACTGCCTGGTATCCAATATATAACTGCTAAATCGTAGATCAATCTGTTTATTACAGTCTCATTTCTATTTCACAAAAGGTTACAGGTAAAAACATGTTTGTATTTGCTAGAAAATTTCTCAAAGGATTCCAGAGAAACTATTAACAAGTGGTTATTGTACTCTCTTCTATACCATTTTTAAAACCACAAATATTATACACATTACTTTTATAATAAATATAAACCAGCAACCTTAAAAGTGGAGTGCGTATTACCTAGGGGGTACAGGAAGACTTTTCCTGAGGTACATAAAGCATTTAGAGTTTTAAGGAAATCAATTTCTACATCCTCAAGTTTCGTATTTTATATTTTCTAAAAAATTGATCTGCCAGAAAACACAATTGTGGAGGAGGAATCAAGCTGGTTCTCTATTTTCCATCTCTCTTTTCAAAACAGTCCTTTTGCACTTTCAATAGAAAAGCATATCTTGTACTCATCTCCACTGTGTCCTGCATGCACTGGCCTGGAGCACAAAATCCTCAGGGTGTCAGAGAGACAGTTCCAAACACTGCTGTCAATGATGAAGAAATAAATTGCTTTAACAAATGAATGGGGGGATCAAATCCTTTCGCAACTTTGATGGCTTCCAATAAAATAGGAGAACCCCATGTTGCTGTCAGCTGATAAATCAAGAAAATTTTTTTTGAAGATATACCATATTACCATATTTCCCCCATATATCTGCAAAGGAATTCAAAAACTTGAGTGACATTGCTAAAACAAAATCTCCATTCTCATCGACTTATTTATATAAATCAGGTTTATGTGTGCTAATGTTTAACAAAGCAAAAAGTAGGAAAAGTATTGATGCTGAATCTTGTCTAAATCTAGCAATAGGTGATATTTATCCATGTATACACCCACTAAATTAAAACAAAGACTTATCTATCTCTAATAATTCTTTTGCTTTGGTGTTTAATAATAACCTTTCAAATTTCGTAACATATTTACAATATTTTGATCCATTATATTCTAATACTAATTGTCATGATAACACAAGCAAAAATAAAAATTTATTTATTTATTTTAGAGAAAGGAAGGGGAAAAGAGAAACATCAATCAGTTGCCCCTACCCACCCCCGTACATACCCTGACTGGGAATTGAACTCCCTACCTCTCGGTGTATATAGGATCATACTCCAACCAACTGAGACACACTGAGTAAATTTTTAAACAGCACTTACTTAGAGCTTTAGGATCACAGAAACATTAAAAATAATTTTTTTTTTGCTATTTAAATTCTATTTCCTATTTACCTGGAAATAGAAAAATCAATAAAATAATTTCAAGTGAAAAAATATATTATTGGGACAAAATTCTGTTAGAATAGAAAGGAATTAAGAACTCAGGAAGAAAAGGAAAAACATACAACTTCCAACTATCAAAGAAGAGCTTAACTAATTTTTATTTTATTTTTTTTTCTTTAATTTTTAAAACAGATGATGGTGGCTCTCAAATCATTAAGATATCTAGGTTTCATTGGTTTCATGTGAAATTGTGATGTAACAGTTTTGTTTGTGAATGTCAATTTTTTTCAGAAATCACATTATTTCCAGTTAATTGAAATTTTTGATGCAAAATTTTAGATGTCACATGTGTAGAGCACAATGTTAAAATATATATATTTTATAAATAATTTAAATATGCTTTTATTCATTTTAGAAAGAGGAAGAGAGATAGAAACATCAGTGGTGAGAATCATTGATTGGCTGTCTCCTGCACGCCCCCTACTGGGGAACTGGTAAACTCTTGGTTCATAGGTTGACCCTCAATCACTGAACCACACTGGCCGAGCTAAAAAATATTTAGTGTTTTTATATAAGCCATTTTTATGTAAATATACAAAATAAACATTCAAGGGAGTGTAATATATTCTTTTGCCACCTTGTGGTCAGAGTTGTATTCAATCCCAGGCACTGTGACTGTAATGAGGAGGGGTCTCATCTTAGAGCAGCCCCTTCTACTAGCCTTGGGTTGAGTCTTTGTGAAATAGAGATGGTGACATTTGCCCAGGACTGAATCCAGACCCATTCAAGCACTAGGCATAAAAAAAACCTATTAGATAATGCTCCAGGATTAGTAGATCTACTTCCTCAAAATGAAAAAGTATACAAATAAAAGATAAAAAAGCAACCAATTGTTTAAATAACCATTATTCCGGAAGTTATATTCATGACTCATATATCTTTATTTATTATTATTATTATTATTATTATTATTATTATTATTATTTATTTCAGAGAGGAAGGGAGAGGGAGAGAGATAGAAACATCAATGATGAGAGAGAATCATTGATCAGCTGTCTCCTGCAACCCCTCCTGGGGATTGAGCCCACAACCCAGGCATGTGTCCTGACTAGGAATCAAATCATGACTTCCTGGTTCATAGGTTGATGCTCAACCACTGAGCCACACTGGCTGGGCTCACATATCTTAACGATCCAGTTCATTAACAAATTGTACAGAAACTTACAGAATTGTCTGGCCAATTACATACCATATATATTTGTCTCCCTGATTATATTATACTGTGCCCTTTTACAAACTATCAAACTTACTGTCTTCAAATCAAGACCCATCTATCTATACTAATAAAAGGGTAACATGCTAATTAGACTGGGAGACCTTCTGTATGTCCTTCTGGACAAAGCCATGGTGGCAGGGCCAAGGCAGAGGCGATTAGGAGCAATCAGGCCAGGAGGGGAGGGAAGTTGGGGGTGATCAGGCTGGCAGGCAGGTGAGTGGTTAGGAGCCAGCGGTCCCGAAAGCCGGACATCCCCCAAGGGGTCCCAGATTGGAGAGGGTGCAGGCCAGGCTGAGGGACCCCACCAGTGCACAAACCTGTGTACCAGGCCTCTAGTAGTTAAAATTAAAAGGAAGTGAGAAAGGGGAAAAAAAGATTATGCTGACACCCCTACATGAGATTCAGAGCAAAAGCAACAGGCAATCAGAAAAGAATATAAAGAAGCGCAGCAAAATTCTAACTTTTCCCAAGGAGGAAAACTGTTTAAAAAGAATATCAAACTGTTTCTGATATTCTTTCTTGATTCTTTTGTTTTTGGTGCCTCTTCTCTGCTGGTGACCTAGATACTTCGCAGCCCTGACTCTGGCCCTGGGCAAATTTGTATCCTTCAGTGCTATGCCCACAACTCCTGGTACAACACCTGCCTCTGCATTGGAGCTGAATAGACACTTGTTGAGTGAATGATGGAAGAGCCCCCGTCCCTCCCCTTCTAGAACATGCTGGACCAGAGCACGCTGCAGGAAGTTGATCAGTAAGGCAGTTGGGTTGCCATGGTGATTTCATTAGTGGCCAGTCGCAGGTACACAGAGATCTAGTTCTCTTTGATGTCTGTTTTTCTGTGGAAGTGGGATGAGAATACCTCCTGGTCTCCACCCCTCTGTGACCTTTGTCATTTTTAGCAGCAAGAGCAGGAGCAGGAATGCTTCAGTGGCTGAGCTAGTTGCAGTTCCTCTGGTTGCAGGCCACAAAGGGCAGGCCTTATTGGAAAGATGGTCTGGTGCTTCAAGGAATTGAAGCAAGAGTTAGCTTAGGAAGGGGAGGCACCAGGACAGCTCTAGGGACCTCTGCTGTACCGGAACCAGGCATACTATCCTCCTTAAGGGCTCCTGATTCCTGACAACCAATTCATACTGCTAACCCTCGGAGGCCTCAGCACCCCTCCTCCCTGAAGGAATGGGCCAGGTGGAGGGGTGATATCCCGTGCTAATAGAACTCTGCCATGGTATCGTTCAGTAGTACAGCCCCACAATCCCAGCAGTGCGTACAGGAACCAGGGACTGACTCCTCCTAGAACACACTCTCCCTCGATCCTCCAACAATGGCCAATACTTCTCCCCTGAGTCCCATCCTGACGCCAGTCCTGAGCTGCCCTCCCTGGACCAGCACCTGTGGCCCCTCCATGACATCCTCCAACATGCCCAAGATCTGAGACACCTGTTCGGAGCTCAGTTCTCGTGTGACCGGTAGTGCTGCTCCCCATTGCCAGCAGTAGCTCTCAGACCGGGCCTATTCCCTCCCCACGCCCACCTGCTAGTGCTTGAGGGTCTGGTGGTGTGGTCCTGTAGTTCGGGCCTCTCAGCCATAGGCGAGGTGCCAACGGTAAGCATGGCCTTGTTGTGCCTGGTCCCTTCTGATGCCGCGCCCCCTCCTCCTTTCCTCCCCCCTCCTCCCCGTCCTCTGGCCCCCTGCTGCTCAGCATCTGTTGGGCCAGAAGTCCAGCCGCTTTGGGGGTCCAGAGGAAGAGGCGAGGAGCAGGCACGGCGTCTGCGGAGCGCCGATCAATGGGCAAAGGGACGTGCCTTTTCGGGTCCAGCGGCCTTGGGAGCTATGTCCTTGGGAGTCTAAGGTCCAGTCCGGTCCCAGAATGGATCTGGGGCTTCATTGGGCAGAGGGGGAGCGGGGGGGGGGGGGGAGGGTAGGGAGACCTGAGGTGGAAAGAGAGCCTGGGACTGGCTCAGGGGCAGGCTCAGCCACAGAGATGATGTTCTATCACAGCTCCCCACTGCGCTCCTCGGGGACCTGGACTCCGAGGGGACATTTCACAGCCCCAGAGACATTTCTGGACTTGGTGATCTCTGTGTCCCCGGCCCCGCGGTGGTGGGGACAGCCGCCCGGACGGAGGGCAGGACGAGGAGTGGGGAGAAGACGACGAGAGGGGTCAGAGCGGCGATTGGAGCCAAGAACTGGAAGCGCCTTAAAGAGACTGCGCGGTCCCCGCCCCCCTTCCCGCCAGCCTCAATGAATTAGAGCTGTGTTTCCCAAACTTGCCTGCTCCTAAGAATCCACCGGGGCCCCAGTTAAAGATACAGGTCTCGGAGCACCTCTCCTGGAGATTCTAATTCGGTGGGCTAGCGGGCGGAGCCGAGGAATCTGTGATTTTAACACACTCCCCACGTGATTCTCGGGAACGAGCAAGTTTGGGAAATATTGAATTAAAGGAAGCCGGGCCTGGCTGCAGGAGCGGCCTCCGCTAGGGGGCTTCGGCGGGAGGATCCCGGAGGCGTCGCCTGCTTCCGCCGCCGCCTCCTTCAGTGAAAGTCCCTTTCGGGTCCGGCTGCCACCGCCGCCGCCGCCGCGCACCCTCAGGCCGGGCGGGGACACCCCGGTCTGCGTGGCCCCCGCGCCGCCACGCCCAGTGGCCGCCCGAACCCGGCGATCGGGGGAGGAGCCGCAGCCCGGGGAGGCGGAGGAGGTAGAAGAGGCGGAGACGGCCGAGACGGCGGCGGAGAAGGCGGAGAGAAAGGTGGAGACAGAAGCGAAGGTGGAGGGGAAGGTGGAGGCGGCGGAGAAGGTGGACGCCACCGGGAAGGTGGAGGCAGCGGGGAAGGTGGACGCCACCGGGAAGGTGGAGCCGGAGGAGGGTCCTGGCCGCCGGCTGGAGCTCAAGCTGGAGCTCGAATCCGAGCCGGCACGGGAGGCTGAGCAGGAGCCGAAAGAGGAGCCGAAGCCGGAGCCGGAGCCGGAGGATGAGAACCCGGCGCGGAGCTGCGGCAGCGGCGGCGGCGGCGGCGGCAACAGCGAAGAGGTTCCTCCCCCCTCCCTTCCCTCCGATCCCCCGCAGCCCCCTGATCCCTCTCCGCGGCGCAGCCGTGCCCCCCGCCGCCGACCCCGGCCGCGGCCTCAGACCCGAGTTCGTACCCCACCGCAGCCTAGGCCACGGCCCCCGCCCCGTCCCCGGCCCCGGCGCGGCCCTGGGGGCGGATGCTTGGAGGTGGATTTCGCGGTGGGTCCGCCGGGCTGTTCCCACGTGAACAGCTTTAAGGTGGGAGAGAACTGGAGGCAGGGACTGCGGGTGATCTACCAGTGCTTCGTGTGGTGTCGGACCCCGGAGACCAGGAAGAGCAAGGCGAAGTCGTGCATCTGCCATGTGTGCGGCACCCACCTGAACAGACTCCACTCTTGCCTGTCCTGTGTGTTCTTTGGCTGCTTCACGGAGAAGCACATCCATGAGCACGCCCAGGCAAAACAACACAACTTGGCGGTAGACCTCTACTATGGAGGCATCTACTGCTTCATGTGCAAGGACTATGTGTACGACAAAGACATTGAGCAAATTGCCAAAGAAGAGCAAGGGGAAGCCTTGAGATTGCAAGCTTCCACCTCGACGGACGTGTCCTACCAGCCGTGTTCAGTGCCTGGCCTCGGGGAGAAGTACCCCACCTGGGAGACCACCAAGCCCGAGTTGGAACTGCTGGGACACAACCCGAGGAGAAGAAGGATCGCCTCCAGCTTCACCATCGGCTTGAGAGGACTCATCAATCTGGGCAACACGTGCTTTATGAACTGCATCGTCCAGGCCCTCACGCACACGCCGATCCTGAGAGATTTCTTCCTCTCCGACAGGCACAGATGCGAAATGCCGAGTCCGGAGTTGTGCCTGGTGTGTGAGATGTCTTCACTGTTTCGGGAGTTGTATTCTGGAAACCCTTCTCCTCACGTTCCCTATAAACTGCTGCACCTGGTGTGGATACACGCTCGCCATTTAGCAGGGTACCGGCAGCAGGATGCCCACGAGTTTCTCATCGCAGCGCTTGATGTCCTGCACCGGCACTGCAAAGGTGATGAAGTTGGGAAGGCTGCCAACAATCCCAATCACTGTAACTGCATCATAGACCAAATCTTCACAGGTGGCCTGCAGTCTGATGTCACCTGTCAGGCCTGCCACGGCGTCTCCACCACCATAGACCCGTGCTGGGACATCAGTCTGGACTTGCCTGGTTCTTGCGCCTCCTTCTGGCCCATGAGCCCAGGGAGGGAGAGCAGCGTGAATGGGGAAAGCCACGTACCAGGAACCACCACGCTCACGGACTGCTTGCGAAGGTTTACAAGGCCAGAGCACCTGGGAAGCAGTGCCAAAATCAAGTGCGGTAGTTGTCAAAGTTACCAGGAATCTACCAAACAGCTCACGATGAATAAGTTGCCTGTTGTTGCCTGTTTCCATTTCAAACGATTCGAACACTCGGCTAAACAGAGACGCAAGATCACTACGTATATATCCTTTCCGCTGGAGCTGGATATGACGCCCTTTATGGCCTCGAGTAAAGAGAGCAGGCTGAATGGACAGTTGCAGCTGCCGACTGGTAGTGGAACCGACGAGAATAAGTATTCCTTGTTTGCCGTGGTGAATCACCAAGGGACTTTGGAGAGCGGCCACTACACCAGCTTCATCCGGCACCACAAAAACCAGTGGTTCAAGTGTGATGATGCCGTTATCACCAAGGCCAGTATTAAGGACGTTCTAGACAGTGAAGGGTATTTGCTCTTCTATCACAAACAGGTCCTGGAACACGAATCAGAAAAAGTGAAAGAAATGAATACACAAGCCTACTGAAGCGACACACCGATCTACCTGTGATGGAAGATGGCGACACCTATACTACAACTGGCATCGAGATTTAAAGGACTACTTGCGTGGCCCATGGGCCTGACAGAGTAAGAACTGAACAGTACCCAGTGTCTTAAGAGGTCCTGAGTGGAAAAGAAGTAGGAGGGGCGGGAGAAGAGGCGCTAGTCTAAACAATCACTGAAAAGAAAATTAAATTGCAGGAATGCTCCGGTGAGGAAGGCAGGGAGATCCTGACACTGGTACATATCCTATATTCCTCCAAAAGATTGTGTGGGAAAGTGTGGGGTGGGAGGGGGGTGGTGTGGGGGGTTTGTGCCCTTGTAACTGTAAAACATCTTTCTCCATGGGTGTTTCAGCTTCAACTGACCAATCATAACAGTTATATGTTTTGGGGGGGAAATGAAAAGTTTATACAGATGTAGCCCATTACATATATGGGTATGAAAGCAGAAAAGTGGAGGAGGCAGGGATATCTCATTGACAAACACCTTTGCCAGTTTCTTTGTATTCGTGATTTTTTGTGCTATTAAATGCAGTATTAAAAAAAGAAAGAAAGCTCACGAGGGCCAGTGAAAGAGAAGAAAGAAGGGGGCTTTTATAAGGGGAGCCAGGGCTCTAGGAGTAGAGGAAACAAATACTGTAAGATAAGCAGCCAACACAGACAGTCCTCAGCTAAGAGTGTTGTGAATGAGTGTTTTTTAACAAAGCTGTATGATATACTTGAGCAAATCAATGAACCTCTTTTCAATTGTTTTCTCATCTGTACAATGCAGATAATGCCTACCTTAAAGGGTCATTGTTAAAGAGTAAATGATATAAAATGTGTCAAAGTGTAAAGTAAAAGGCTTGGAACTTTGTAGGGGCTCAGTAAACGTTTCTTGGATCTAAAACTCCTTTGGACTCGGACCAGAATGCATCAGAGGTGAGTGTCAGTCCTACCTGAGACCCATGAACAAAATGGGCACACACGCACGGTGTTACATGCAGTTACACATACACACACACATGCTTACAACTCCTTCCACAACATTGACTACTTAGAACCCCAAGGCAAAGGACTCCACTATTGTCCCTGTATAGAGGGCATCGCAATCAGTGCCATACCCAGGATTTGGGGAGAACCAAAACTGTCCTCAAAAGTCATTATTCTGTCCATTTAGAAGACAGTCGTGTTGTTTTCATGACTCAGCACCCAGTGATGGGACTCACAGGGCCACCAGCCTACCAGGTTTCCACATAAAGTGGTTTTTACCTTCCACACGCATTGTGGATGTATCTGTTACACTAACCTATAGGCATACATCAGTGTTAAGACTGTTCTCCAAAACTTACTGGTCCACCAGCCCAGGGACATCAATGGAGTGGCACCTTGCCCTCTTCCCTGATTCTCAGAAGGCAGAGCAGCTTGCAGAGAGAGCTAAGCCAACGCAGTTGGGCTGTACCCAGGTTGGGGTTAGCACTGGTGGCTCCTTCTTTTCTTCTCAACGTGAGATATGAAAGTATCTATAACCTAAGAAATCCTGGGGGGAAACTAAATGTGCATCAGGCTATGGGGGCCTGAATCTACTGGCTCTGGTAAAAGGCTGGGATCCCCCAGGGCTTCCCAAGTCTTCATTGTCAACTCATTTGGAAATATAGATTTATTTAAATGGTAGTAAGTACATCTCCGAGTAGCTCATAAGCTTTTTAAAGACAGAGCTTGTGTCTCCTCTTGTATTCTGAGCTGCATCCTGACACACAGGAGATATTCAAAACATTTACTGGATGGATGAAGGAACCAATACTCCTTCCTTTCATCACCACATTTTCATCAACATCCAGGACCCATAATCCTCAGGAGAAATGGTATTTTTGGTATTTTAAAGAATAGGGGAAATCAAGAGATGAGTGGCCTTGGATGCCACGTGGCAGCTTAATGCCAGGTATTTGGCTGCTTATGGGGATGTGTCTAGTGCCCTCATTCCTCATCTTTGCCAAAGAGAGAGTTCAGTCAGGCACATGCCACCAGATTTTGACTGCTTGTACAGAAATGGTCTTTTACATTTTTACTTGGAAATAATTTTAAACTTACAGGAAAGTTTCAAAAATGAAAATAGTATGAAGAACATCTGTATTCCCTTTACCAGATTCATCAATTACTAACATTTTACATATTTTGCTTTATAGTTTGTCCTTATGCACTCTCCCTCTCTCTCTCCCTCTCCCTCTCCCTGTCGTGTGTGTGTGTATGTGTGTGTATGTGTTTGAACCATATGAGGGTAAATTACATACATCATAGCCCTTCATGCCTAAGTATTTCAGTGTGCATTTCCTAAAAATAGGCATATTCTCTCCATTGCAGCGTTGTTAACAACTTCAGTACATTTAACACTGATACAATATTATTTAATTTACTGTTTGTACTTTAATTTTGTCAGTTGAGACAATAATGTCCTTTATACCCTTTCTCCATCGCAGAATCTGATCTAGGTTGAGGTATTGCTTTTATTGAATTTATTGGGAGTGACATTGGTTAATAAAATTGTATAGGTTTCAGGGGTACAATTCTATAAGACATCATCTGTATATTGTATTGTGTGTTCACCACCCCAAAGTGAGGTATTGCTTTTAGTTATCATGTCTTTTTAGCCTCCTTTAACCTGGAACATTTCCACAACCGTTCTGCATCTTGTATGACATTAGCATTTTTAACAGAACATTCCTCATTTTGGGTTTGTCTGATTCACAAACTGTTTTTAAAATACCCTGTGCTCAGGAATAGTTCTAAGAGATGTGAATGGTACAAAACTGCTGAAGCTGACCCCTGCCCCCTTCTGGTGGAAGGCACAGACCACCAGAGGGAGCAGCTGTTCCTGCCACTTCCTGATTGAAGCACACACTTCTGGAAAACACCATTCATTGTCCCTCAGTAACAGGAGAGCCATTCAAACCCAGCCCTGTGCCTCTACCTATCACCAATCCCCCAAATGGAGCCATGGAACCTAAAAGCAGCCAGAGCCTGCTTTCAGATCATAACACTGTGGGACATAGGACATTACGTATTCAGTAGGTATGTGTCACCTTGAACCCAAATGGATCTTCAGGTATGTTTGAGCATGTTTGGCACATGGGTGAGCACCTCTATGGTTGGATCCTTTAGGGGGATCAAGAAGTAAATCTCTTGGCGCCTTTATCAACATTCCTATGGTGGGCACAGTTTCAGTGGATGGGAGCAGGGGAGGGGTAAATACTTCTTAAGCAGCTTTATGAGCAGAATAATGAAGATGGGGCCTAGAATTAGTAAGGGAGAGCATGGGAGATGTTATAAATAGATTATTCTGTGATCTTACTGGGGACTTTCAAACACAGTTAGGCTATTTTATATGGCTTCAATACTATGTGAATTCCAAATGTGGGCAAGGGCTGGTGTAATTTAAGCTAATTCTTCAATGGAGACTCCATCTACTTTGACAAGCTAGTAAGGTCAGGGAAACTAAGTTTATCTGTAGGTTTATGATCTGGGCCCAGAAGAGCACAGAAAAAGATGGGTGCTCACGAGTTGGGGACTTAACCACCTATGGAGCTCAGAATGAGGGACCAAGTAGTGGATGCGTCCCTTTCACCCATGACACATGCTTTATATGCTTTCTTGGCCTAACCAGATTGAAAATCCAGAACCCTGCCACTTCCTACTTGGAGTAGCCTGATGCTGAAGCTTACTCTGGCCCACAGTTCACATAGGTAACTGCCTCACTTTTTCCCCATCCATAGGATATCCTGATCAGGGAGGGCATCAACAAAGCGGTCTTTTTCAAGCAAGAAACAGAGTGGCCCCCATATAGTTCATATTGTCATAATGCCGGGAACCTGTGTTTGCACCAAATATATAGTCACATCCAAATGTGAAGGCCCAGTTCCTCTGAGAGTGTGAAACCCAGCATCCATAGCAGCATGTCCTTCCTCTGCAGGTGACTCAGTATCAGAATTTCTGACTTTAGTAGATCTGGGACAGGGGCTTGAAAATTTACATTTCTTTTTTTTTTTTAATATATATTTTATTGATCTTTTACAGAGAGAAAGGGAGAGGGATAGAGAGTTAAAAACATCAATGGGAGAGAAACATCGATCAGCTGCCTCCTGCACACCACCTCCCACAGGGGATGTGCCCACAACCAAGGTACATGCCCTTGACTGAAATCAAACCCGGGGCCTTTCAGTCCGGAGGCCGATGCTCTATCCACTGAGCAAAACCAGTTAGGGCAAAAATTTACATTTCTAACACATTCCCAGGTGATGCTCATGCTTCTGGTTCAGGGACCACACTTTGAGAATCACTGATCTATTCAATTTGTTTTCACACCATGGTTCTTGGGAGTCCATGGAGTCTATGAAGAAGCTCTGGGGAGCACCTTGGAGAGCACCTTGGGGAGCAAGGGGGAAGGTAAATTAGTGAAGATTAGGAACTCAGCCTCACTTCATTTGCAGCAGATCCTCAAATAGGGATTTGGAGGTTCCAAATGATATTTGAAGTAAAGGTTCTGCTACTAAAGTTTTTAAAAGCTGAAAAATCACTGTGCTAAGAAATTTTAGATCCCAGGGCAATGAAGTATTTAAAATACATGGGTGGTGTATCTGGAAAATAATCCAACATGCTATAGAGACCTGGTCTCATATATGCCCTTAATCTAGATTAGGGGTGTCGAACTCAATCAGAGAAGGGGCCAAAATCTAAAATCCAGCCTAAATCGCGGGCCGAATGGTTTACTGAACAGTCATAAACTGTTATTGTGATGTTATTGTGTGCAGTGATGACAGCGCAGTGCGGGCCACATTGCAAGGCCTGGCGGGACGGATTTGGCCCGCGGGCCTTGTGTTTGACACATGTGATCTAGATGGTCCTGGGGGGAACTTAACATCCTTGGAACTTAAAGAAGTGTTTATAAAACAAAATTAAGAAGTGTTTATTGTCCTAGCTGGTTTGGCTCAATGGATAGAGCATCGGCCTGTGGACTGAAGGGTTCTGGGTTCGATTTTGGTCAAGGGCATGTACCTTGGTTGCGGGCACATCCCCAGTGGGGGGTGTGCAGGACGCAGCTGATTGACGTTTCTCTCTCATCGATGTTTCTGACTATCCCTCTCCTTTCCTCTCTATAATAAATCAATAAAAATATTTTAAAAAATTGAAGCAGAACCAATAAAACCTCTAGAATCTTAGCAAAAGCAAGCACATTTTTATAATCCCACAGAGAAACCCAGTATCCATTGAAGATATGCTCAGAAACAATAAAAATACTTTACTTGCAAAGAAATGATACAACATGCAGGAGAGTCATCAGTTTCCATAAGAAAGAGAGTTAGTAGAAACACTGATGAGAACTCCTCCTCCTTTTGTGAATGAGATAAGGACATTTTCAGAAAAAACAAACCAAGGAAAGTTTAGCAATAATAGACTCTCACTAAAATAACTACTGAAGGCTATACTTCAGGAAGAAGGAAATGGAAATCAGAGAGCAGGGGTGAGTAGAAGGCAGGAAACAGTGAACAAACACTGGTAAACATAAGGAAATTTAAATAAGCATTAAGTATATAATGTTGAATAATATGGAACTTTAAAAACAAGCTGGTGCAAAAAACACTGGAGCACAAATACATGTAAGACAGAAGGAGATTGTTAATATTTAAAGTATTCCAAGGCTCTTTATAGTTTGGGGATGTGATACAGATATTACTTGAATTTGGATCTTGTTAAGTCAAGTATGAATGTTTAACCAGTGAAGAGTACCTCTAGTTTCTGGTAATAGCAAGCTTGGTTATTTGATTCAACGTTCCTGTTGAAGTAAAAAGTATGTTGGACAAAATCTTTGAAAAGCACCGAAAT